AAAAACGAAGAATTCACTTTGTCACATTTGCGAAATAATTTTTGAAAAAAAGAAATGAATTTAAATTGATAATTTCTTATCAATCGCTTTCCATGCTTTCTTTTACAATAAAAGAAATAAAACTTTTAATTATTCGGGGAGATTCAGGCCCCCTTCTTTCCCCCCTTTCCTTCTTTCTCTCTTTTCGGAATAACTTTCGGATTCTTTCGGTCCTTTCTCGAAAAATTATTTTTTTTTTTTTTTGTTAGCAAATTAGGAGCATTCTTCTTCTTCTTCCACTTTCGTTTAAATCGTCACACGTCGCGACGTGTCACCATCTTAAATCTATAATTATTATTATTATTATTATGACGATCGGTATTTTTCTAAAAAGTGTTTAACAGTTTATAAATTCGCTGTTGTTGCTGTCGTTGAAAAAAAAAAATTTCCTCTTTAAAGTTTTCGGTACGTTTTCCTCTTCTGTTCGATTCGAAAAGGAAAAATGGAAGGAAACAAACTCTAAAAAAGGTAAATAATTTCCTTCTTTCTTTTCCTTTTTTTTTCCTACTCGTAAAATTCTGTCGTTTGAAATCCGAAATAAAAAAAAAAAAAAATGGCGAACGTAAAAAAAAAGAAAAATGGCCGTGAATAATAAATGAAAATTTTATTAACGAGGGACGAACAAAAAAAAAAAAAATTTTTTTTATTATTTTCCATCGGTGTTTTTACTCTCCGAAAATTTTAACCTCCTCTCCCGCCCCCACACATATATTATTAATAATTTAAACGTTGAAAAAAACTACGATGAGGGAGAGAGGAAAGGGGGAAGAAGGGGGTTACGTAAAACCCCCCTTCCCCCATTTTCTCGTCTGCTCATCCTCCCAATTTTTTTTTTGGTTTTTTAATTGCATTAAACGCGTAGTAGTTCGTTCATCCATCGTGTGGTCGTTGCACATACCGCGTATAAATCAATATTTCATTTTTATGGAGGAAAAAAACCGGAAACGGAAACGCTTAACCGTTTTGTTTATTCAAACGAATGAACGAAACCGGATAAATTTTTTTAAAAAAAATTTTAAAATTTAATTTTTGGCATTTTGCCTCGACAACAACGGCAACAAGTAAATTTTTCTTTTTTTTTTGCGGCGCACATGCCCTGTTACGTCATAATTCACAAATTTTCTTCTGCTTTTATAATAATAATAATGATTCAAATCCGATTTTTTTAATAAATAAATAAATGACATCATAATTTACGACGTTAAAGTGAGATCAGAAAAAGGAAAAAATTTTTTTTGGAAAATTTTTTTGTTTACGTCACTGACGTGAATTTTTCATTTTCTACCCGCAATTTTTTTTCCTTTCTTTTTGTTCGTAACGTGAAAAAAAGAAAAGGCTTTAATACTTTTTCGAAAAAGCAACCTTTTTTACTCCCAAAAGACCTTTTTTTTCTCCGGTAAAAATTTTATTTTCCACCACTAAAAAAAAAAATAATAAAAATGGCGGCGTTACGCGTGATGGTAATGGCGGTCGCACCGGGTTTCCGGTACGATCAAAAATAACTCGATGGAAATTAAAAAATCCTTTCCTCTTTCGACCGGAATTTTCATAATTAACTTCTCTCCGGATAATTTTCATTATTATAATTATTATTATTTAATAGACCGGAAGTTCAAGTTTGGAAAAAAAAAAAAAAAAGAAATTTTCCTTTCTAAACTTTTAGAAATTTTAACAATTTGAATAGAATATTTTACTAATATACTAAACTCAGTCCTAATATTAGACTTATATATATTATTATCATTGTGACGTCACAAAGAAAATTTTCATTTTGCTGTTGACTTAAAAGAAAAATGTTTATTTTGATGACGTCATTACGTAAAATCTATTTATATAAAAGATATTTTTTCATTCTGTCGGCTCCGAATTTCTTTGGAAAATTGAAGCGTTTATAAAAGATTTTCCGAAAAAAAATTTTTCTAGATCTTTTTTCATTTTGATTAATTTGTTTCGTTACTTAGTAAACAAACAAACAAACAACAAACGTCGATTGTTGAATTTTCCGAACTTTTTTAAAAAATTTAAAAGATTTTGAAAAATTTTTTTTTTAATGAATTTATTATTATCGTCGTGATTAGTATTATTATTATTATAATTATTATTATCATTTTTAAATGTGATTCAATAGTCGTAAAAGAAAGTTTTCCTTTGTTTTAAACAAAAAAAAATTTTCCTTTTATTTTTCGTATTAATCAAAGGAATTAATCAACTCCTGAAATTTTTTTATTTTTTTTTTTAAATAACGAAATCATTTTTTTTAAATCAACCATATTGTTTTTTTTGTTTTTCCTTTTAAACACCGACAAAGGAATTTTCTTTTTTTTTCTTACAAAAAGGAAAATTTTTCTTATTATTATTATTTTTTTTTTGACTAAAATCGATTGACACGTCAAATTTTTCCAACAACATCTTTATTTTCCTTTTCTATTTTAGTACCATCTTTCTCTCTCTCTCTCTCTCTCTCTCTCTCTCTCCTTATTCCTCCCACTCGTTTCCGTTTTTCTTTCTCTCTTTCTCTCTTTCTTCTCTCTTTCATTTTGTTTTTCATCGATCAAAAACAGTTTTAGATCTTAGTAAAAAAAAAAAATTTTTTTATTATCGCCCTTAATTTTATTTTTATACGTTTCGCGTTGAGAGATTCAAATAATTCCACGCATTTTTTTTTAAATCCGATTTTTTCAAAAGCAAAAAAAAAAAAATTTAACGACCGCCTGCGTTTAATCTCAACAAACAACAGCCAGGAAAAAAAAAATGGCGATCGCAAAATTTTCTTTTTTTTTTTATATTTTGCTTTCGATCCTGGGAAAAAAAAATTACATAAACCGTTACGTGAATCTTCTTTTCCAAAATGATTTCGTGAATGAGAATTTATAAAATAATAATGACGATGATGATGATGATGATGAAAATTTTCATTTTTTCCTGTTTATTGTAGGTTAATTATTTCCGGTCGATGTTGTAGTAAAATATTTTATGTTTTATTTATTTATTTATTTGCTGCAGGAGCAGTAAAAATTTTTTTTGTTTGTTTGTTTCAGGTAAAAAAACATTTCTAACAAAAAAAAAATTTTCTTTTTTTGTTTTTTTCTTTCCCAGGAGTGTAAGAAAAATATTTTTATTTTCCCCTTTCGATTTTGTTAAAGCTCTTTGAAATATTATTATTATTATCACGACAAGATTTTGTGTACTTTCCGGGAATTTTAAACATTTATTTCAGGTTTCTACCCAATGTCTTCCCGAATTTCGTAGGTGGTATTTATAATATTTTCTGGAGAATGTGAGGCGTCCCACATAGTGCGATTTCCTGGATGGTTTTTTCTCCTTTTAAATTCTTCAAAATCTTCTTTAAACTTCTTTTTATTGAATGTGGCATGGCTCCCCCCAATACTCCCACGATGACCGGAATCGTTTCTGTCTTTACTCCCCACATCCTGGTTATTTCAGCCTTTGGCCTGCTTTTTTGGCTGTTTTTGTCCTTTTCGGCATCATGCTTCAGGATGATATCCGGTTTGTTGGCTGGCACAGTTCTGTCAGTGTGGATTTGTTGATCATACAAAACTGTGCATGGACCCGCTATCGTAACCGGGCTTGTACCACTCCTTGGGTAATCCATCCATTCCATATTCACGACAAATGTAAATATTTACATATTTTGTCGTGCCTTTTTAAATATTCATATGTTGCCAATATCGGACAACCGGAAATTAAATGATCGATTGTTTCCGACTGCGATTGACAAATTCGACACATATCGCCTTGGCGGACTTTGAGAAATACCTTCTCGTAATTATGGGTCCGCAATGCCTGATCTTGAGCACACCACTGGTCCACGCCATAGCCAATTATGGGTGCTCCTCTTATCAATACCTGAAGCGTTTACTATCTTCAAGTATTGTCTAACTTTTTCTGTCCCTTTATTATTATTATTATTATTATTATTATTATTATTATTATTATTATTATTATTATTATTATTATTATTGTTAACGTTTTGAATGAGTTTTACGCGTTAATTTTACGTCAGGCACTTAATAAACGTCAAGATTGTAAATAATTGGGTGACGAATTAATTATTATTATCTTCATCATCATCTTATTATTATTACGGTTTTCTTTAAATACTATATAATACGGAATGACCGTTAAAAATAATAATAATAATAATAAATTTTTGTTTTTTTTCAATGTTTACATTCTAACCGTCCATTTTTTATAATTTTTAACTTTTAAACTTTAGCGATTTTTTTTTTTTTTTTGTTATTTATTTATTTTGTATTTGCTTATGAAAATTAAAAGCAAACAAACAAACATTACTAAACAAAACAAAAAAGACAGGGTCTCTGATTGTTTAATTAAATTTTTTTTGAATTTTTTTCTCGTTAAGTAATTAAAAAAAAAAAAAAACAAGAAAAATTCCTAAAAGCGTTTTTATTTTAAACGTGGTTGACGAATACTTTTTTTTTTTCCTTCTCTCTCTCTCTCTCTCTCTCTCTCTCTCTTTGTTGTGTGCTATGCTATTTGCATAACGAGAAAGCGTGACAAAAAGTATAATTAAAACTTTTAAGAGGTTTTTTTTTTTTTTTCTGTAAAACGAAATAAAGAGTATTATTATTATTATTAATATGCTTACAACGCAGAATCGTTTAATTAAATTAAACATATCGGTGCAAAATTTTCATTTAAATACGTGCAACATAATTTTAATGGAAGCCATTTTTTTTTCAAACGCATTTAAATTCTGCGTAAAATACGCACACGCACTTTGAATCGATTTTATTTTTGACGTTTAACTCGCTCTCAATACGTACACCCGATAATGAATTGATTGATGTAGATTAATAAATAACACCGCAAAAAAACGAATATTTTTTCAAGTGGGGGGATGGAAAAACAAAAAATATTAATAATAATAATAATAAATGATATATTTTTTTAAATTTTCACAGTTAACAAATGGAAAAATGGAAACGAGGGACCATAAAAATTCAACATTGATTTTCATTGGAGAAGAAAACCACGGTGCGACGGTGACATCGCCCAAAGATGAAATACGGGAAAGAATTAAAATTGAATTTTATAAAACTTATGACGTCATGACAGGAATTCGTATCGCTGCCACATTGGGAGGTAAATTTTCATTCGTCTCCCCTTTTTCCTACTTCCTCCTCCTCCCCTCCCCCACGTACCCGCGAGAGCCAAAAAATTCAAATTGTTATCATCGCATTATCAACGATAATAAAATTCCTTTCGGCCTTTAATAAAAATAACGCAAACTGAAAACAACAAACAACCAAAAATTTTATACACACGATTCGTTTGTCATTGATTGTTTTCAATTTTTTCTTATCGATAATAATAATAATAATAATACGCAATAATAAATCCGGGAAGGCCGATTACGACGTTATTTATCCCCGATCTTAAACATAATAATTATCACGATATCCCGACATAATCATTCATTCTAATTGATTTTTATTATGGTAATAATTATTATTATCGTTGTTGTTGTTATTATTATTATTATCATTATTACCATCATCTATTCGTTTTTTTTTATTATTTATTTATTTATTTTATTTTATTTATCGAGTAATAAAAAATAAAATAAAATATGAAAAAAAACAACAACAACAAATAATTTAATCTAATCAATCAATTCGCGCTAGAAAAAAAAAAGAGAGAGAGAAAAATTTAAAAAAAAAATATATATATATATTTATTACTCTTTTTCATTCGAGTAATTTTACTACAAGAATTCTTTAATAATAATAATAATGATAATGATAATAAAAGAAGAAGAAGAGGAAGAGGAAAAGAAAGAAAAAAGTTTTTTTTTTTTTTCTCTCATTGGATTTTTTCATTCCCTTAAGAATTTTTTTTTCTTTTTTTCCAAGTTTTACAAAAACTTTATCCGATTTACTATATTTTATTACTTGGGAAGGAAAAAAAAACGTGGAAGGAGACAATAAGAGAAAAGAGAGAGAGAGAGAGAGAGTGAGAGTGAGAGAGAGTGAGATAGAGAGAAAAAGACAACAAGCGGAAAACTTCCGAAAAAAAAAACAACAGCAGCGATGTAACTAATATTTATGAAAAAAAAAAAATTAATTTATTATTATTATTATTATTATTATTATTATTATTATTATTATTATTATTATTATTATTATTATTATTATTATTGTTATCACTGATAAGAAACTGATAAAAAAACGTGGCATTATAACACGTGTTTATTTTTAATAAGTCCGTAATTACGTAAAACTTAAAAATTTTTTTTTTTAATAAATTAAATAATAAAATTATTGAAATGATAACGTCCTGTCGCGATTTTGCTGTCGTTTCTTGTCGTGTAAAAAAAAAAAGACGTGGAATTAGAATTAGATAAATAATTCTTCTCGAACTCAAAATTTCTTTTTCTTTTTTCTTTTATTGATTTTCTATTAAAGTTAAAAAAAAGTAAAAAAAATAAAAGAAGAAAAAAGAAAAGAAAAAAAATTTTCTTTTTTCTTTTTTTCTTTTATTTTATTTTCGTCTGCTGTTGTTTTTTTTTTCACCTGTTGAGATATTATTTCCGATTCTTTGTTAAAAAAAAAAAAAAATTTAAATTGAAAAGGTTTTTTTTAACCTTTTCACCTTTTTTTCTACTTCTTCTTATAGCAAACACTTTTTTACTTCGTAATTTCTTTTTTTTTTTTTTTTGATTTGAATGAATGACTTTAATTGAATTAAGACTTAAAACTTTTTCCTTTTAAATGGAAAAGAGTCAAAGGAAAAAAAAATAAAAAGAAAGTTAATTAAAGAATAATAATAAAAAGTTTTCCACAAATTTTTTTTTTTTAAAGGATTTTTCAGCATGATGATTCTTTTGGTTCTTTATAAAAATTATTGCAAACCGAGTAAAACTTTGAGCGAAGAACAATTAAATGCTGCCGTGACGGCAGCAGCAGAAGAAGAAGATAGAGCATTGCAAGCAGCTTTGGAAGCGACGTCATTTTACACGTCATTGGAAAAAAGAAGGCAATCATTTGAAAATGCCAATCAAATATTACTTTCGCCAAGATTTTCAAGCGTCGGTGGCGGTTATAGTCATTTGGCACCACCTCTGAGAGTTTCCGTTTGGCAACAGAGAGGAAAAAGTTTACCTGGTGAAAAATTCAATTACATAAAACCTTTTGAATCGAAAATGATGTCATCAAATAATAATAATAATAACGTGTCATTAACAGGTTCCGTATTGCAATTCAATTCGCCGAACGTTCAACGTACGAGAATCGGTAAAATCAACGGGGGTGTTGGCGATGACGACGACATGGCTGCCGCGTCACTCGACGAAGGCGATGAATTTTACAATCGTTTACCTAATTTAACGGATTGTAAAAATTATTTAAACATATTTTCGAGTAGAAGAGTTAGTTCCGTCACGTGTTCGAGCGCGGATTCGGCTTATTTGGAGAGAAGATGTTCCGCTTTCGAAATCGGTCTCCCATATTCTCCTCCATATTTGCTCAGGCACAGCAGGGAAAAAATTGTAGAGAAAAAAAAAAAAGAACCTTCGGAATTTTATTATCCCATCGATATTCAGGTACTACTCCCACTCCCATCATTTTTCACACCGTGATGATAAAAAAAAAATTTTTTTTTTTTTTTTTAGGTGATTCAACCGACGCCGGAAATGTCACCAACTGGAAGTGAAAAAAATTTAAACGACGATTCGACAATGAGCGGTTTAAAAGTGCCTGGAAATAACGAACACATACACACTTTATCCGTTGCCAGTTTTGACATTGGTAATTATTATTATTATTATTTTTCCCCCATTCGAAAGAAAACAAAATTTTTCTTCTGCTTTAAATCGAAAATATCTTTTATCCGATAAGTTTGTATCTGTTTCTGTAATTATCAATTACGCCTAAACTTATCACGCACGATAACACGAATCGCAAACAAAAACAAAACACAATATGTTTAGTGTTGTTATGTTTGTTTGTTTGTTTGTTTGCGGGCGGAAAACATTATCGCGATATTTATTAAATGTCAAAGTCAATAACGAGTGTAAATTTTTCCCAAAAAAAAATTATTATTTGGCGCTCGAAATTTAGTTTTTTAAATAAAACGAAAACAATTTTGCGCCGAAATTTTTTATGATTAACATAAAAACTTGTTTTTCTGTTACAGTCTGTAACACGAAACGTTTCAATTTTTTTTTTTTTTACCGGAAAATTATTTTGGGGGTCATATTTAAATATAACGTTTAATTATTATTTAAATTTTTAACTCCTTCCGGTAATTTTTTCTTTTTTTTTTAAGTCGTATGTGTCAAATTCCGTATAACGTTTGATTGTTTGTTTGTTTGTTTAGGACTCGCTCCTTTGGCATCAATTAGTAGCTTGGGAGGTTACAGTCAATCGACATCGATCGCGAGTCAAAGTTTAAACGCGTCTTCGTTTTCAAATTTTCCGCTGGATAATCAGGGAGGAGTAACCGTCGATGATTCCGTCGGTAGCGATTCTGTTTTTTTAGACTTAGAAGATTTATCGACGGACACAGAATTCGAATACGACGACGACGACGATGGTTTTGATGACGATTATTCATTTTGCGAATCAAAACAACAGAAAATTGATGAAACCGAGAATAAAAATTTAAAATTTGCCAGTTTCGATTCGTACGATGCTTCCATAACCGTCGATTTGAAAACTAAAACGGAGAGTATCAACAACGAAACCACAGCAAACGATGATGAATCTTCTCTCGCGTGTCAACAACCGACGACAGCAGCAGCGACAGCAACAGCAGGAACAAAACAAAAAATAAATTTGAAAAGATACACGAGTTTAAACGAGAGAGATAATAAAAATCGTCGTAAAAAACTAATGAAAACTTATTCTGAGCCTAAAAATAATAATAAGGTACCTAAAATTTTACCACCCTGGACGGAAAAGGGAAGGAGTGGTTACGTTCCTAAAAGACAAATGTCATCTCCGTCGAAAAAAAAAAAATTTAACACAAATTCCTCCGTTGAAAAAAAAGAAAATTTTTTAAATTCGCCGAAAGAAAAATCTATAGAAAAATTAGAAAACAAATTTCAATGTAATAATAATAATAATAGTAATAATAGTAATAAAACGGAATCGAGAAGAGATGGTGATGAGAAAGACGCGACCAAAGTCGTCATTCTTCCACTTCCGGAAAATACAATACGTAGCGGTGGTGATGGTAGCAGTTCCGGTTTCGGTTCCGGTATTAATTTTGCCTCTCCAAATTTTCAGAAGTCTGATAGCATAGCGACTTCTCTTCTTTTAACACAGGGTCTAAAAAATGATTTGCCTTTTAAACAACAACAACAACAGCAACAAAAAACTCAAAAGCAATTCAGCCTTCCGTCAGCAAAAGAAAAAAGAAGTCGATGGTTTCAAAAGCAGAAAAATTTTATTGAAGAAATTAAAATCGGTACTCATCAAATAAATGAAAAGACTGATAATAATCGAACGGAACGCGATGATGATAATGATGATGATGATGATGATGATGATGGCAAAAGGGAAAAAAAAAATTCCGAAATACTTTTGAAACCTCCTCTATAAAAGTATCGGAAACGAACGTGTCGGATTCGTGTGAAAATCTATCGAATCGGAAAAAATCGGAAAATCCGTCGAATCCCATCGTCAATATTTTCACGACGAAACCGTAAATATAGTAGTCTAGTTACCCGACAGACAATTATAAAATTTTATGATATAGATGTAGCTGTCGTCGTTCGTACGACGACAAAAAGAAAAAGAAAATTTAAATCAATTGAATGTGTAATCGTCAGGTATTCTGTTGCAATTATTAATTAAGTTCACGCTCATCATCATCATCATCATCTCTGACGACGACGACGACGACAACAACCACAATCAAATTAAATTTTTTTCAATTGAAAAATTACCCCAAATTTTCCTCAATTTTCTTTCTACCATTTATTATTACGGTAACACTTATCTGTGAACAGCATTGAACTTTAACATTTTACCAAACGAAAAATAAAAAAAAAAAAATTTTCTCTGTTTGTTTGTTTGTTATTATCACGAGGTAATAATAAAACGTTTTTCCAACAAACGAAAACTCCCCCCTACCTCCCCTTCATAAAACAATTTTCCAATTTTTTCGTCGGGTAATTGATTACGACGACGACGACGACGACATCGATCTCGACGATTATGATAAACGATCGTTAACGCCGCCACCCACTGATAACAGATTATTATCATATAAAAATATTACGAAAATTCTATAACAACTTACAACTGAAATGTTATTATTATTATTATTATTATTATTATCATCACCGTTTTTTTTTTTTTTTTCATTAACGAACCTGTTTATCTTTCGAGCTTAATATGTTTTTTTGGTTTTCTTCGCGGACCAAAATAGTTTCCCCTCCCCATCTTCCCCCTTATAATTTTTCACCGGGGAAAAAAAATGTCTCATCCCTTAAGGTAAACAAAACCGTTTTAATAATAATAATAATAGTAAAAGATAATGATAATAATAATAAATAACCGATCGTTTCCTATCAAACGATAGGAATCGATTACGTTTGTACAGGGTTTTTTTTTTTTTTTTAAAATAACTTTTTTCAATGGCGCAGAACGTCCTCGAGCATAAGTTTAGCGTGTAGATAGAAAATACGTTTTAAAAATGATAATAATAATAATAATTTCGGCGCGTAAAAAGTTTTTTAGTGACGCAATTTAATGAAAAAAAAAAAAAAAAAAAATTCTGACGACATTTTTATATACGGCTACTCTCTTGTAGTATCACACTCTCTCTCTCTTTTTTAATAAATAATTACATAACTGCAACCACACGCTACATAAATAAAATAATAATAATAATATTAATAATAATAATAATATTAATAATAATAATAATAAATTTTAGGGTGTTTGTAAGTGTCCTTCGTCCATGTTTTAGTTTTTTTTTTTAAATGTAAATTGCTGTCGAAAGTTTTTCCTATTGTTTTTATTTCTTTTTACTTTACGGTAATAATAATAATAATAATAATAATAATAATAATAATAATAATAATAATAATAATAATAATGAACGTAATTGTTTATAGTAAAATTTGTACGTGTAAATTTACTCTCCAGGTATTAAAAAAATTAATTAGTTTGTGATGACGTCATTTTCTAAATGAATAATTCCTGTTTCTCTCTTTTTCCCGCAATGTTTTTGTATTTAAATATTATTATTATTATTTCATTGTTTATTATTATTATTATTACTACTGATGATCGAACTGAAATTTATTTATTTATTTATTTTTTTTTGATGTTGACTTACTAATAATAATAAATAAAAATTATTAATTTAAGTGTAAAAAAATAAAAAAATAACTAAATAATATGTAAGTGTTGTTGTTCGGTTTATTATGTACATAAAAAATTTATTTTTCAAACTCTCAATTAAAATACTAATTAATAAATAATTGAAATAATAATAATAATAATTAAAATTAATAAATCGTCGTTAATTATTAATAAAATATTATGTATAACAATAGAAATTTAACGCCTTCGTACTCAACTATCAAAACGTAACAAAATGTAGTGCGTGAGTGTGCTTGCGTGCGTGTGCGTGTGCGCGTGTGCGTAAGTTGAAATATTTTATGTATGTTTTAATTTATTAAACGTTTATTATGTATTTATTTATTTTTATTTATTTATTTATTTCCTTTCCGAACGACCGGAAGAAATTCCCGCGTGCGTTTGTTTTGGTTCGTCACGTTGCCAAAAAAAAATTTTATGTTCGCGATTAATAATAATAATAATAATAATAATAATGATGATGATAATAATAATGATAATGAAAATGATAATGATAATGATAATAATAATAAAGTTATTGAGATTTCGCGTTTAAGCAAAAATGAAAAAAATGAAAATAATCGATTTTAAGGCCACGTTTCTCTCTCTCTCTCTCTTTTACATAATATTACGTTTTCATTATTATCATTATTATTATTATTATTATCGTAACGATCATCACGGATCGATCGCAAAACGATTTTTTTTTATTATTATTATTATTAATTTATTAAAAAAAAAATTTGTTATCACAATAAAAGGAAGCCATGATTATCATGAGTTTTATTCGTGATAATAAGTAACGCTCTCGCAAATTAAATATATATATATATATATATATATATAAATAAATTTTTTTTTTTTTTTTTACTCGCAATTTTTATCATATCGTTTGCTGTCGTCGTCGACGTTGTCGTTGTCGTAGTACCGTTTCCGTTTTCTTAACGAGAATAATAATAATAATAATAAATAAAACGAATCGAACGTATTTAGGTTAGACAATATTGTAAATAATGGATTTTAACCGGAAATCGTTGTTTTAATTGTTTTATTTTATTTTCCGACAAGTGAGATGTTTTCCCTTTTTGAATCGTGAAAAAAACTAATATTAATAATAATAATAATAGTGTAATAAATGTCGCGTTTTCCGGTTCGTTAATTTTTAATTTAATAATTATTATTATTATTTCGTTTTTTTTATTTAATCGTCGTTTGTTTTTTGTATACAACCATGAATGTGGAAATGATGAAAAGGTAATACACACATTTATATTTATTCGTGTTTGATGAAAGGATCAAATTATTAATTAACCCTTTCCGGTTTTTTTGGGGGGAGGGGTGGGAGGGGGAAAGATGGATGTGGTAGCTGTGGTGGTGGTCGTCACGTTTTTTTTTTCTATCCCGTCCTGTCGCACGTATCGTAAAAATTTTCGTCTTAATCTTTCCTTTCGTTTCGTTTTCATTTCTTTTACGAGTGTTTGTTTGTGCGCGTTTTAAATTTATTACAATTTTCGAAAGAAATGCGTTGTTGATGACTTGTTACGACAGACGAAAAATGACAATAATAATAATAATAATAAAAAACTCGTGACTATTTAAATGAGATTGCCACGATTTCAAGGCTGTTGAAAAATAATTTGTAACGCGTTTGTGCCAATTCGTCACGTTGTGATACAAACAAATTTTATTATTATTATTATTGTTTTTTTTTCTATTTAAATAATAATAATAATAATTATTATTATTATCATTATAATTTATTCGTTTATTAACATCGTTACGTTTGACACCATTTTAAAGTTAATAAATAATAATAATAATAAATTTTCCCGAATGATTTGATATTAAAAAATTATTCATGGTAAAAATGTCGCGTTTGTTGTTTGTCGCTGTCGTCATTTTTCATAATTAAAAACATTCATTACGTGTGTAACAATTGTGTTTGTTTTTCTTTTCGAAATACGACGACAGCAAAAACAGCAGGAAGTAAAATTAAAAAAAAAAGAAAATTATATAATAATAATAATATCAACAAAATTTTGCAAATCGGTAAATGGAACAACAACAACAACAACAATCATTTTTTTTCTTTTTCTCATCAAAGGGTCATTAAACCAATCGTTAATAATAATAATAATTTTTGACACATTAAATCGAATTTTTTATTCAAACAAACAACGACAAAGAATAACAAACAACAACAAAAATTTAATAAGTTTTTAAGCTGTTTCTTTCGCTCGAATCAAACAAAATTCATTAAATACAATTTAACGATAATAATAATAATAATATTAATAATAATAATAATAATAATAATAATAATAATAATAATAATAATAATAATAATAATAATAATAATAAAAACTTGTTTCCGATAAAAAATCATTTCAATCATTTATAAAAGTAAATAATTAATAAGAATAAAAATAAACACGTAAACGTAAATTATAAACGCCCCTCGAAAGGACAAGAAGAGGGGGAGGGGGGAACAACAACAACAACAAACTCGCAATTACAATTTTAATATAATTAATAAGTAATTAATTGTTTGTGTGTGTTCGAGTGCGTGAGTGCGTGAGGAAGGTAGGAGGAATTTATTAGAAAAAAAAAAAAAATTAATATTTACGGAAGAAAAACAAACAAACACTCGCGTACAAACGCACACACCAGTAAAAAAAAAAAAAAAAATTCTTACTCGCGTGGAATGTTTGTTAGTCTTAGTTTGTTGTTCGAAATAAACAAAAAAAAAAAAAAAAGTAGTTTGAAATTGCGTCATTAACTCAGTCTTGTCGCTTGCTTTGTATAGAGTAACAGGTCAGTTTAGTTTTAACCAGGTGGAGGAGAGTTTGCCCGGTGAGGTGAGTTGTTTTTTAAGAGTGTGTACCTAAAACAAACGAACACGCACACACGCACACATAAACATATTATTATTATTATTATTATTATTATTACTACTCGTAAAAATTTATTTTTTTAATCGGTTATTTATTCACGTCCGACTACATATTTATGTAACCACGAGTGTGATAACATTGATAAAAACATGTAATATTTATATATCGCGAAACTTTAGTAATAAAAATCATCATCATCATCATTATTATTATTATTAATTATTTAAAAAGGAAATCGACATTTTGGCAAAGAACAAACAAACAAACAAACAAACAAACAAACGATTCTTTTTCCTTCCTTAATTAAAAAATTTTTTTTAAAATTTATGATTGAATTTAAAATCGCGAGTGACGTAGAAAAACGATCGATCGATCGATCTATCGATTTATCGATTTATTGATTTATACTTATTAATATCGATTTTTTAAAACGGTTATTTTTTTTTTAAATTTAAAATTTAAACATACGGTAAGTATTAGAACCGAAAAAAAAAAATCGTTAAACAAACAAAAATTTTTTTTTTTTTACGTTAGATGGTTTACATCAAGGTCGTAATAATAATTATTTTACCCTTGAATGATTATGCTAATTCGTACGTCAAAAAAACAATCGATCGATCGATAATCGATCAATAAAAAAAAAAAAAAAAATTAGGGGGGAAAAAAAAATTTTAATAATTTTTTGACCGTTATCGAGTAACTAATCATTTTTTTTTTGCGCGCGCGCCATTATTATTTTTTAAAAATATTAATATAAAAACATATACCAATTTTTTTTTTTGTTTGTTCGTTTGTTCGTAATAAGAAGCTTGTCCTACGTCGACGAGGGTCAATTATTATTATTATCGCCATCGTCGAAGGTTTTAAAAAAAAAAAAAAAATTAAACGTAAGCAAAAAATAAATAAATTAAAAAAAAAAAAAAAAACGTTCGCGTAATCGAAAATCACGCGATTTTGAGGAAAAAAAAAAAAAATTAATAAATCAAATAAAAAAATGAAGTTCAAACTCGTGGAGCGAACGACACGTTCATCGCTTTTAAAAAAAATTCCGTTTTTCTAATGACACGTACATCATTTCAATTAATAAACAATCTCTTTTGCATAATTTTTATTTTTTTGCAATTCGAAAAGGTCACTTGATAAAAATTCATTCGATTCCGTTTGTTTTTTATTTGTAGTTTGTATTTGTTTGTATTTTGTTTAAACGTATTGATTATTTTGTCGGTATACGATCGGTTGTTCTCGTTTGTTGTTTGTTGGACACGCGTATCCCTTTCCAAAGTCAACCCCGAGTATGCTGTTGTTCTAACAAAAACCTTTCATATTATTATTATTATTTAAATTAATGAAAATTACGTTTTGACACTTCTGACGCACATGCACACGCACGCACGCACGCAAATTTCGCAATCGTTCATAAATTTTTTTTTTTTCCCGGATAAAATTACGAAAAGTGCAAATACATGTTTTCCTTCGTTTTTCAACCGTTAACTTTTTTTTTGCTTTTTTTTTTTTAAATTTCATTAAATAAATTCCCGTTACGTTTGTTGTTGTTGTTGTTGTTGTTATTTTTTATCACAACAATTTTTTTATCCATGGCAAAAAAAAAAGGCAACAAACAAAACTTTCACTCCCTGATTAATTCTTTCATTTTTTTTTTTTTTAAATAAGAATTTGTTAACCTTGTATTATTTAAACATTTTGTACATTAAAAAAAATTTTCAATAACGTTACACATGCATACGCGCACGCACAAACACGCAAAAATAAAAAATTTAAACAAAAAAAAAAAGGAAAGTTTCTCAAATTTTTTTGGAAATTCCCGCGTTTTGTTTTATTAATTTTGTTTTTTTTTGACTGTCATCGAGTGCTTACGTATTAGTGTGATAATAATAATAATACTAATAATAATGATAATAAATAATTTGCGAATTCGATAATTTGCATAAGGTTAAGGAGAATGAATTTTAAAAAAATTAGCATTTAACATAAACGTAGCCAGAAGGTTTGGAAAATGTGTCGAAACGTGGTGTGCGTAAATCCGACCAAGTTCGCGTTTTTTTTTTTTTTTTTTTAATTGATTATATTTTATTACCGACCTAATTGAAAGGTTTGTTTGTTTGTTTGTTTGTTTGTTTGTTTGCCCTCCGGCATTTCACGAAGACAAACACAAAAAAAAAAAAGGAGAGAATGGGACAATATTTTATTCGCCATATTGGAAAAATAAAAACTCTTTAAAAAATTCTTTAACGCGTTCGTTCGGTTTGTGTTTTACGCACGCGCGTATCGAGAAAAAGAAAAAACAAAATTTTCCGGCAGGAATCGATTGCAACGTAATTCGAAGACGTAACTGATTAGAGAAAGAAAAAAAAACAAATTTCAAGGTCAATCCCTGATAACAAAATAAAAATTTCAGTTAATGTAAAAATCCGCAATTCATAAAAAAAAAAAAAAATTTTTTTATGAACGTCGCGTGCGGCGTTTTGCGGCGTTAAACATATTGAAAATTTTGTCGTGGCACAAGAAAAAAATGACATAAACTTTCACTAATTGTTTCGATACGAATCGTCATCGTCATGTCATCGTCACCGTTTTTTTTTCTTGATTTTTCCATTTCGTACGCACGTGAAAAGTAATAAATAACAAACGGAGTAGTCGTAATAATAATAATAATAATAATAATAAATCAAACGATTAATTACGCAAATTTTTTTATTCGTGGCGAAAGACGATCTTTAATAAAAGGTAAAATAATATTTGTAAACGTGAATAAATAAGAAAGAAAAAAAAAAAAAATCAACGACAACGCGAATTTGTTTCGTTTAGTTTGTTTGTTTGCATGTGTAAACCAAACACGATTTGTTTGTTACTTGATTTACAAAATTTTAATTTAATGAAAAACAAAAAAAAAAAAAAAGGTTTTTATTATTCGTTATAATTTTTTTTTTTTTTTGATTTTTTTTGGTAATAAAAAAAAAAAATTTCTCGAGGCTACTATCGCAACCGCAACAACAACCACGACAACAACAACAACAACAACCACTACTACTACTACTACTACCATCACTAACCAACTGTCGTAATAAGTCACGATATAAAAAAAAAAAAAACTTGCACTTTTAATTTTGTAGGTTCGCCGCAAATTCTTTTAACTCGTCTTTAAATTATGCCTTCAAGGTTTCTTTTTCGATTAATTTTAAATGTGTACCTGAATGGATTTTATATATTTTTTTTTTTTTAAGTTACGAATCGTTTGTTGAGAGTAACGCGACGTTTTTAACGCGATTTTTCTTTCTCTCTCTTTCTCTCTATTAAATTGTAACGATACGTTTGTATTTTTTTTTAAAAGAAATCTGAACGGTTTGTTTGTTTGTTTGTTTGTTCGTTTTACGTTTAAAAAAAAAAAAAAAATTCACGAAAATCCGATCGCGTAGACAAACAAGTGAAAAAAAAAAAAAAACGTGACGCCCTTGGATTTTATTGTTTACGTTTATTTAGTTCTTCCTTCTTAAAAAAAAATTATTATTATTATTGTTTTTTCTGACGTGGAACGAGTGTTAAAAATTATTTTTAAGTGAAATAAATTTTTGTGTGTAATTTTTTTTTTTTTTTTTTTTTTTTAAATTAAAAACGGAAAAATGGGAAAGAAAAATTTTTTATTTAAATTAAATCGTCATAAATCGTAATAATTTTGTTTACGTTTGTTTGTTTGTTCGTTCGTTTGTCTTTAACCCCGTTCGTTGTCGCGATTTTAAAATAAAATAAAATTTCTCTTTTTTTTCTAGAATTATTTATTTAAATAGAAGAATTAGTAAAATTTTCTCGATAGATAATTCGACAATGGCGCCAAACAAACCAGAAGAATCTGCACAAAATGTTATCGAACAACCGATATCCATTGATTACGATCATTTCATAAATGATTTTTCGAAATTGAGACAACCGTCCGTCATCAGGGAGTTAAGTAAGTTTACATTTAATCATAATAATAATAATAATAATAATAATAACTTCCATAAAAATTAATAAAATTCTTAATTTTTTTCCCCCAGACAAATTATATTCTCAAAAAACATCTGATATGGTATCACTAGCTGGAGGTTTGCCTAACGTAACGACATTTCCATTTAAAGAAATTCAAATTACATTGAGTGACGATTCGACGATATCGTTAAAAGAGAAATCATTATACGATGCACTACAATATATTCCCACTCAAGGGTTTGTTTAGTATTATTATTATTACGTTAACAACAACAACAACAAAAAAAACATATCGTTTCGTAAAACCAAATTATGTAACGAGGTGTAAAGTCTCGCGATCATAAGTTCATGGATCATAAAAAAAAAAAAAAATTTTAATAATGTGCGTTAACTTTTTTTTAAAGATATCCTCCATTGTTAGAAAAACTTCGTACCCTTCAATTGAAAAATCATCGTCCACCGTGTTGGGACAATTCGGAAGTATTAATAACTCCAGGAAGTCAAGATGGACTTTGTAAAGCTATAGAAATGTCATTATCACCTGGAGAACCCTTTATCGTACAACATCCGTTATATACCGGAACGGACAGCATCGTAAGATAAAATAATAATAATAGAAAAAAAAAAAAACTTTAAAAATTACTTATCTACATCCACGTTTTTTTAAAATAAATATTTATTCCTTTCAGTTGAAACCATATTGTTCGGACCTCATACCCGTTGAACAAGACGGTAATGGAATCATACCGGAACTTTTAAAAGAAGAACTGGAAAAAAGAATAAAAAATTCAAGTGATTCGTTTACTATGAAAAAAGGAATTCCGAAGGTGATTTTTTTTAAATTAAAGTTTTTTTTTTTTGACTAGATGATGTCATTGTCAAGATCGACGACGTTTCAATGATTTTTCTAGAATAAAAAATTTTTAGCGAAAAATTATCTTTTTTTTTTCAAGATAGGAATGGTTCATTGGCTTTATAAAACGATATCAATGATATTCGATAACCGTACTGTAATATTTCATTATTATTATTATTATTATTATTATTATTATTAATATTCATTGATTTACGTCGTCGTATGAGTATCTGCAATATGAAATTTTTTTTTTTTTTTAATGTAAAAATATTATTATTATTGTTTTTTTACCGATATCGTGTATGTTTTAGCTTTTGTACGTGAATCCAACTGGAGCTAATCCTACAGGAGTTATACTAAGCACGGAAAGAAAAAAAGAAATATATAAATTAGCTTGTAAATATAATCTTATTATTTTGGAAGATGATCCATACTATTATTTACACTTTGACGATGTAAGATTCTATTTTTTGAAAAAAAAAAAATTATATTTTAGTCTTGAGAGCTAAAAGTTTAATAATTAATTCAATTGTTCCAGACACGACCGGTGAGCTTTTTATCATTGGATACGGAAGGAAGAGTACTCAGATTCGATTCCTTTTCCAAAATAATGAGTCCTGGAATACGTTTGGGTTTCGTTACGGGTCCCAAACAATTAATAAGTAGAATAGAACTTCACGTTCAAGCTGGTGCTTTACATGCTTGTTCTTTATCTCAGGTTAGCCTCAACACCTCATGAGATTCGTCACGATTGAAAAATAAATAAATAACATTTAAATTTATTGTTTTAAGGTAATTATCGACAGCTTTTTAGAAAAATGGGGATTCGATGGATTTTTCGAACACTTAGAATCCGTTAGAAAATATTACAAGCGTAAAAAAGAAATGATGATTGCTGCAGCGGAAAAACATTTAACAGGTAGGTAGGATAGTTGCACAAAAAAAATTAAAAGTTTTAACCGCATAACGATTTATCTTAAAAAAATCTACGCTTTAGGTTTAGCCGAATGGAACAATCCGACAGCGGGTATGTTTTTATGGATAAAAGTTAAAGGACTACCAGATACTTTTAATTTAGTCGGTAACGAATGTATTAAACACGGTGTCATGTTGGTCATGGGTCACGCGTACAGCGTGTACAAGGACAAACCTTCGTCTTACTTAAGAGCCTGTTTCAGTTTAGCTACACCTGAGCAAATCGAAGTAGGAATGGAGAGGCTGGCCAAAGCAATACGCGTCGAACAAGAACGTTACAAAAATTCAACGAATTCAAACAACGCTCCATCGAAAAACCATTGAAGTTTAATAGATTTGTAGATATTTGGTGTTGATTTATCATTTATTCTACTACAAAAGGGTAGGTATTCCGGGAGGGACACCTGGAAAAATTTAAATACCCATGATGAAATTACATCAGTCGAATAAATTGATTTCATTTTATGTCTTAGACCAAAAGACTAGTAGGAAATCATTTTTGTTAAGTGATGAAAACTTAACATTATCATAATAATATTATTTCATTTTTGCTTCGAAGCAAAAAATTAATAAAAAAAAAAAAAAAACATACGATATATATATATATATATATATAAATATCTGTTAAATTGTTTCTTAAAAATTTAAAAAACAAAAAAAAAAAATTATTATTATTATGTTGATAAATGTATAAAAATTAAACAAAAAAAAAATTGCTCTTTTTTCTTCTTCTGTTAAATTAAAATAAAATTATTTATGACACAATATAAATTGTTTGTTTTTGTTTTTTTTTTTTTTTAAATTAAAACACTTATTGTAAACATATTTACATTTTTTTTGAATAAAAGTTTTAGAATCATTACTGTCAAGTAGTACTTTATACTATTTTTCATAATATTGCAAATACCATAGTTTTACATATTTGGAACATTGAAAATAAGGTTTCTACCTTAAACTGTATCTTTTGTCCCTTTAAATATTTCTGCTTGCCTTCTTAATAAAACATATATTTTTTCTTTTATCCAATCTTTATTGTATGGCGCATAAGTGTTTGTACTTTTTTGATATCTGAAATTTAAATTTTTTACATGAATGATAAAAACAATGAGAATTAATTTCATGATTTGTCAAAAACAGAAACAATCATAAGAAATTGTTAACTATTAATTTTACTTACACTAGACAAGACAAATCTGTCAACTGATCGATAAAGTCAAATAATTGACTAACATCATATGTTATCGAGGGAGTGTTTGGGTTTAGTCGTTTCAAATGCTCTTCGTAAATTTTACATACTCCTTCCATACAATCATTGACAGTCTCATAATCTGAATACGTCCTGGTTTCAGGGCGGACGCCAGGTTGCACTAAAAGTATTGTGTGTGACTAGAAAAAAAAATTTGATTGATTCTTATTTTGTTTTTAAAAAAAATTCTTTTTGGTTAGTCAAACGTTTAGATTTTTTATGGCAGACAACTTTAAACTTTTGGCGAATATGAACTAAACTATTAATAAAACTACAAACTTAAACTCTTTTTGTAATAAATATTACAAAATTAAACATTTATTTGTATTTATTTTTTCAAAATCTTGTCGTTCACATTGTTGTATTGTATTTTAGCTATTGTAAACGCCATTTTGAAATAAACGGTTTTGAATAACCAAATGTAAAATACCGGTTTTTTTAAATTAAATCACTCACCATTTTTTAAAAACCTAAAGCAAATATCTCTTCTTTGATTAAACTACCAGTAGTTTCGTTTTTATAGTTTTATTTTTTCGGATACCAACTTTCAAAGATATTAAAAATAAAATAATATAGCATTTACACATTCAGTTAACTTGCCAATTATTTTATATCACAGCCTTTTACTTATGTCATAGAGTAACACTTTACTAGACTCAAGAAATGTATATGTATTTATGTTGATATTATGTATGATTCGTCTTGTGGTAAAAACCATCAAATGGGGTACCAGAAACTGTAACGCATTTTTTTAATTTAAAACATTTTTTCAGTGGTAAGTCATCTTATAAATAATTACAACAATTTCTTCTTTCGAAATTAAAATCTTTGAAAGTCAACATTTGCTATCCCAATCGTACAACATCCGTAAAATCTTTTTAAAGCATTAATTTTTATTTATATTAGCACGTTTTTAATAACTGTAATTGTAAGCATTAAAATTAAAAAAAAGCTGATTTTTTAAATTATAACATAACTTTTAAAAAAATTTAACTTTTAAGTGTAACAATAATAATAAACTTTCATAAGTGTTTTATTTCAATATTCATTTTACAATGAGTTAAAAAATTATTTTGTGTTAAATAAAATGTGAAGTTTAAAAAAAAAAAAAAAAAAGAAAACTTATTTATTACAGGTTTTATTACAAAATGAGTGATTGTATGGAAGTTTTGTTTGTCAGCGATGGCAATGGTAGGCAAACAGCAAATTGCTTCAATCCTAATGTTGGAACTACATTGATGACATATAATGGAAGTGGAGGTGCCAAGAGAACTCTTTCAGTTATCGGAAATGATTATCTGATCTCTGCAGATCTTAATAAACCCATCCTAAATGTGTGGTCTCTGAACAGTCAAGAATGTTCACACAATTTGAGAATGGTTATTTCTGGGAAACCATCTTGCCTTACTGTTTCTTTGGATGGTTATTATTGCATTGCTGGAATCGATGAAAAAATATATATATGGCAAATTTCATGTGGGGCTTTGTTAAATACCCTTTCCAAACATTATCAAAAAGTAAACAAAATAGTTTTCACAGATGATTCATCTCATTTTTTAACAGCAGGAGATGATGGGTTAGTTTGTATGTGGAAATTAGGAGATGTTATCGTCAAACAATCTGGTGATATATTTAAGCAAAACTTGTCTCAAGCATCTCCTGTCTATACTTTTTCTCATCATTCTTTACCCATCACAGATATTTTTGTGGGGTCTGGAAATTTAAAATCTAGACTTTTTACAGTATCATCTGATCAAACATGTAAAATATATTGTTTAGGAACTGGTGAATTATTACTTTCAATCGTTTTCTCATATGTATTAACAGCTGTCACTGTAAACGAATTAGAAACTGAATTATTTGTGGGGACTTACAATGGAAAAATAGAAGTTTTCCACCTTGAACCATATCCGAGGGGATTAGAGTGTCATACTTCAAATGAAACAAATTTAGAAGAAACTCTTATTGGACACACGAAAACAGTTACCTGTTTATCATCGTCATTAGATGGCGTGACCCTAGCATCTGGTTCTGAGGATGAAAAAGTTTTCTTGTGGAACATACCGAGCAAACAATTGATAAGATCATTCGAAATGAAAGGACCAATAACAAATTTATTTTTTCATTTTGCTTCGAGTAATATATTCACAGATTCATTTAAACCCCAGTTGGTTATTAATAAATTTGAAAAAACTAGCACTCAAAGTGATAAAAGTCTTGTAGCTAACGTTTGGGTTCATCAAGACCTAAAACCTTTGAGCAACAGACTGGAATTGAGTGATAAAAGAAAAAGTGAACCTCAAACCGACAATCAATTGAAGACTTTCAACGATGAATTTGTTTCGTTGAAAAACGAAATAAGTAAATTAAAAGAAGCTAACAAACAACTTTACCAATTTGCGATGAAAGAAATCATACAAAATCCATATTCTATTGGCATGAAAAAATAAAAAAAATTTTTTTTTATCTTTGTTTCATTCATAACGAGTCGTATATGAAAAAAATGTGTCGTGTTTTTAGTAAATTGTAAAATGGAGAATAAGTTTTTTTTTATTTAATAAAAATAATTTTAAATAAATAATTTTGTTTTTTTTTTTTATTTTTTCACATGTAAAAATCAAATTTGGCGCGAAAAATGTCAAAAAAAAAAAGTTTACTTTCCCCATACTATTGGTTATCATTATTTTGTTCTAGAATTTTGAAGAGGAAAAAAAAAAAACAGGGAAAATGGCTCACGTTCAAGATCGAAAAAGTTCTTTCTACAGCCAAAAACAATCAGTGAGAGAAGAATCATTGGCCCCCCAATATTTAGAATCTGCCGGAGACGTTTTGGTCAAAGATTTGGTTAAAAAACAATTGAATACGAATGTTTCATTGAAAGAACAATTAAATATGGCGCAAAATTTTCAAACGGGACATAATTTAAATCCGGACTACCATCGAGGACTCACATCCGTCGAAGATGTTAAAAAACGAATGGAAGAAGAAAACGAAAAGAGGATGTTATCCGATATCGATAAGCGTGGGGATGAAAAAGAATTTATGACCCGTCACGAACTTGAACTCAGTTTGTGCGAGAAACCCAACAGTCAAATATCAAAATTGTACAAGTTTGCGATGGAAAATGCGAAAAGCAAAAAGAAAATGGAGTCGTTGGAAGAACAAATTCCGAATCATCCGATGAATAATCTGTCGAAAATCGAACAAGAATATTTTGGTCATTTGAAAATCGGTGCCGTGAAAAAAAAAGAAAATTTGGAAGATGATCGGGAGGAATCGAGGAACGATGGAAAAAATGCAGAAGGTTCAAAGAGCAGTAAGAATAAGAAAAAACACAGGAAGAGAAAAAGGAAACGAGGTGTTAACAACGACGACGGAGATAAAAGGACGAAAAAATTTTCCGAAATCCTTTCTCCGGGGGAAAATTCGAAAAAGATTATTGATTCACAGGGAAAAGAGGTTTCCTCCGGGAGACCCTCGCTTTGGGACGTCAAAGACATGAAAAAATGGTGCGAAAAGAAAAAGGAATACGGATGCAAACCGCAAAGTTTTTACACAATAAAAAATGGTAAAATCGTTAAACTCGAAGGTCAAAAGGTCGCAGACGTTACTTGAACGTTTACTCTCCGAAGAGTAAAGAAGCGAAGGAAATAAATGTGCGTAACCGGAAGTTGATCGCATACGGAATTAATCATTTAATAAAAAAAAAATTGAACGTGACGTACCGGAAGTACATTCATTTCTTTTTGAAATTGTTTACAAGGAAGACTTTTTGATTTGTCATCTTTCTAGAATGTTCGAGAAGAAGAAAAGAATGTAAAGGGAAACAAAAGTGAAAAAGTGAAAGAACAGGAAAAGCAGAAGAAGAAGAAGAAAAAGGAAAAAAAACGATAAATTATTATTTCATTTATACAAAATTTTAAATAACAAAAAATTTATACAAAACAAAAAAGTTAAATAATAATGATAATAATAATAAATAAAAATTTTATTTAAAGTTTTTAATTGTTTTAACATAATAATAATGATAATGATAATAATAATAATAATAAATTTATTTAAATTAACTTAAATTGCATATCACTTTCGATTATTTTATATTATTCACTTTATACGTCATAGTAAAAAAAAAATTTGATAGTTTTTTGGCTGAAAGTTATATCGATCACAGTTCCGAGCACGTATTTAAATAAAAAGAGAGAGAGAGAGAGATAAAAAACAAGTTCGAGATATTGATTGATTATTAATCGATTAGTTGTTTGGTCATCTTATCGTTAGTCCGATTATGTGTATTAAAAATAATTGAGTTAAACTCATGAATGTTTGTTTGTTTGATTTCGAATGAGAATTTTCCTTAGATGTACTTCCGTGTGCGGCTTCCGCCAAACCTGAAAAAACACGAAAAAAAAGGAAAACCGTGTTAAAAAGTACATAATGATAATAATAATAACAATGATGATGACGATGATGATGATGATTTTATTTTAAAAAACATTTTCGATTTTTTTAAAAATTTTGTTCATCCACGTGATATTTTTTGAAAAAAAAAAAACAAAAAATTTTCGGTGCATACGAAGCTGAGGAATTTTTTTAAAAAAGAAAATGGCGTTTTTTTTTCGAGGGGGGAGAGTGGGAGGGAGGGGGAGAAGGGGTTAAACAAACGAAATGTTATGCAGCCCAAAAAAAAAAAATTTTTGTAAAAAGTGAGTGCATTTATAAAAATTATTTTCATTTTTTTTGTTGTAAATATATATTTTTAAGAAAAAAGTACTTGCCACCGATAATTGTGACTCTGTTGTTGCTCTTTCCGGTTTTTGATATTTCTCCCCCGTACAGCTTTATTTCTGGAAAAAAAAGAAAAAAAAAAAAAAGGAAAAAAAATAGAAAAAAAAAAAAACAAAATTTTTTATTGGAATTTTTTTCTTTTTTTTTTTTTAAATTATTACGCTTACGATTGTTACTCGTCTATGTTTGTTTGTTTGTTTGTTTGTTTGTTTTTTTTTTAGTCCTTTTATAAATTTCCGTTTTGTGAAACAATTTTTTTTTTTTGTCGTTTGTTTAAACAAAAAATTTTTTTCTTTGTTTCCTTTTAAAAAATATTTTCATTCTAGTTTTTCCATATTTAAAAATTTTTTTACTTTATTGCACGATTTCAAAGTATTATTATTATTATTATTATTATTATTATTATTATTATTATTAAGTCATCTTAATTTTTTTTAAATTTGTTTTAACTAGAAACGTTCAAAAAAAAAAATTGCACGTTTGTTGTTTTTCATTTTATTTTTGGCTGCTTAAAAAAAAAATTAAAAAAAACTTTTACCGCCATTTTTTTTTCTCATAAAAATCCGTTAATAAAAAATTAATTTATACATAAACATAATTTTCTTTTTATTTTTTTTCTCCCCTACCATACCCCCTTTCCCCTACTCCCCTCCTCTCTCCCCTCCACTTTTTTTTTTAATATTAACCCCTTAGAAAATCTTTTGCTGTTGTTGTTGTAAAAAAATCTGCTGCAGAATTTTTTTTTATTCTAAACTTTTAAACTCTATTTTAATTTTTTTTTTTTCGAAACGTATTTAGAAAATTTTTTTTTTTCTAAAAAAAAAAGTTTTTACAACGTTTCGAAAAAAAAAAAAAAGAAAATTTCTGATGCCGAAATTTAATAGCCTCTCTCTCGGAAAAAACAAAAAAAAGAAAATGTCGAGAAAAAAAAAAAGAAAAAAAAATTTTTTTAATTTTGTTTTCCATCGCTAGAAAGAATACAAAAACGAAATTCGCAAAAAAAATTTAAAAATAATAATAATAATAATAACATCAAGACGTATAGTTAGAATTTTTTGTTTTTGTAAAAAGACAAACGACAAACTCGTATCCCTTCTTAAATGTGCATCGCACGAAACAAAACAAAAAAATTTTCTTTTTCGAAACAAAAAATATTTTTTTAATTAAAGTTAATTTTCTACTTATGTTTAAATTGTTTTCCGTCGTGGCAGTAGATACGCCTGTTATTATTATTATTACTATTCACTTCGTGAAAAAACAGAAAGCAGACGATTTAAATATAACTAACTTCCTTTAAAAAAAAAAATTAAATCATCGATGTCAAAAAAAAAAAATATTAAATTTCCCTTTATATTATTCTCCTTATTATAATTATTATTATTATTTAACCCATCGAAGAGCGTTGCGTAAAAACGCGCGTAATCCGTTAAAAAATTTCTATTATTATTATGATAACATTTAAAATGTAAAATAATCCTCTTTAATTAGGTTTGAAAAAAAAAAAAAAAATTTTTTTTTTTCATCACTAATTAATTAAGGCCGGAAAAAAAAATTCTGGATTTACACCCACCCCACCCCATCCCCCTTCCCCTCGCCACCCTCACGCTCTCCTCTTCTCGAAAAAAAAAAAAAACAAACAAACAAACAACCACTTATAATTATTAAAAGTTATTAAAATTCACATCGTGTAACTCAATAGAAACTAACAACAAACAACAACAACAACAAGTTTTAAGTTATTATCTTAATTACATTTTTTTTATTTTTTTTTTATTTGAATTTTATTTTATTTAATTTATTAAACTTTAAATAAATAAATAAAAAATCGCTTTTTAATTAATTTAATATAAAAAAAAAAGGGGAAGGGTTTGTTGAGGGGAGGGGGAGGAGGAAGAAGGAGGAAGAAAAGGTTCCCACTTTTTTTTTTTGAAAATAATAATATATTTACGGTAATTAAGAGGTTTTGAATAAGAAAAAAAAAAAAAGCTTTTCGACGATGAGAAAACTTTTACAAAAAAAGAAAAAAAGGTCAAAGGTTAAAAATTACGTGATTTATGTGTAGGTGAGTGCATGTGCGTGTTGGGGGAGGGAGGGGGTGTTTGTGTGTAGGTACGGTTCTTATTAAACATTTCAAAAAAAAAATTTTAATGTAACGAAAGAAAAAAAAGAATGTCGGGGAGTGGGGGAAAGCGAGGGGTGGGAGGGGGTAAAAGAAAAGAGGAAGGAAAAGGTATGAAATAAAATTTAAAAAGAAAAAAAAAGAAAAGTTTTTTTTTTAAAAAAAAAAAAAAAAAAAAAAAAACTCAGAAGAGGCGGAAGGAAAAATAAAATGAAAAATGACAATTGCTCTTTCACTAAGTCAGAAAAGTCTGTTTCAAGAATTTAAATAATAAAAAGAAAATGAATGAACGAATGAATGAATGGAAAAAGGAAAAGAAAGAAAAAAAAAAAAAAGTTTTTTTCGATTGCCATTAACTCCCTCGTCTCCCCACCTTGTCAGCACCGAAGTCTCTCCCCTACTCTCCCCTTCCCGCCCCGGTAAAAAAAAGAAAAATTATTTAACTCTTATTCGTGCGTGTGTGAAAAAAAAATTCTTCCAATTTTTTATTTTCTTTCCCTTTTTTTTTTTTGCGTCCCTCCTCCGGGTCCTCCACTCCACTCCCTC